CTTGTAGCGGGTGATATCGAATGAAACCCCGGCCCAGATAAGGCGGCAATTCTTTCTTGTCAAGCTGCGTAAGCTGACCGCTGGTCAGTCGACTGTCATTACCGAAATCAAAGATATCAAGGTGCAACTTTTAACCGCTAATGACACTATTGCTGACCATGCCAAACGTGTCGCTCAAGTCCATTGTGTGCAGATCGACCACTTTCAACGGCAGCTTGGTAAAGTAAAAATTAATAACAATAAAACATCGTGCCACACTTCTCATTTAGAAAGCCGTTTTGATGATGCTGAGAACCGTTCACGTCGTGACAGTCTGATATTTTATGGTATCCGCGAATCTTCCTCAGAACCACGCGCACGCCCAGAAGAAAGAATAATTCAGCTGTGCTTTGAACAACTACATGTAACTCTTGACACAAAAATAGAAAGAGCGCATTGTTTGGGTAGCCATAACCCTGGCCGTTATTGCCTAATCATTGTCAGGTTTATTGCCCTTAAAAGTAAAGAGGATATATCCTCACTAACGCCCATGGGTTGAAAGGTACCACTTATAGTATCAGGGAGGATTTTTGCCAGAAGGTACAGAATGCACGTAAACATTTTATCGCCCTGGCAAAAAGAGTCTTCACCTTATTAACTTCGATATAAAACGCTTCACATCGGCTAACAACGTTTCTTTTACGATAAAGCTACACAAAGTGTGCAAACGCAACTATAGCTAGCTCGCCACGCGCGTCAACCACACAGCCATCTTGGCCGCACGTCCCGTGGCACCTTTTCACTGTCTGTTATATTTACTAAAATTCGCAGATTTTTACCAAAACGTGCAGCAGTGTCGAATCTGGTGTCTTCGTCCAATAGTAATGTGCTAATACTAATCAAAACACGGCTTTCTTATGATATTTCAGATGGTGAAATCTTCAACACACTGCCTAACTTTGATATCTTTCGACAGGACATGCTCGGAGCCAGAAGGGGTGGGGTATTGATCACCGTTCACAATGAACTATCTTGTTGCTCTTTAGATATATCATTTCACCTTGAAATCTTTGGGCTTATCTGCCGAGCTGGACCCCACGTTATTATCCTGGGCATGTGCTACAGAACCCTAATAACCATCCTGATTTTCCCGGCAAACTGAATAGTATCATGAGTGAATTAACCGAGGGGCACCCTAGTGCATGTATTCTGTTCTTAGGTGACTTTAGTTACCCCAATATTGATTGGACTACTACGCCACAGGCAACCGGCCGGCTGTTCGGTTTAAGGATTTCTGCCTTAACCATAATCTGACCCAACTAATAGAAGAACCAACTCGTGTCATCCAAGACTGTGCTAGCATTATTGATCTCATCATAACAACGCACCCTGAATACTTGTCATCAATTGGTTTCTTTCAAGAATCAAGTGATCATAAGGTAATTCATGCAACAATTTCACTCAAATTGCCCTTGCGTTATTCACCCACGAAACGAATTCGCCTCTATGAGAAAGGTAACGACTCTGCCATAAAAAACGAACTGCATGAATTTTTCGAGTCATATGGGTCAGCATTTGAAAATACTCTGCGCAACAAAACTGGTCATTATTTTAAGGCAAGAGGAATGATTTGGTCGATAAGCATATTCATGTCGTCACCATTCCTTCAAACCGCCATAAACCACGGTTCACAAAAACCCTGAAAACACTTGAGAATAAAAAACGGCTCTTTGTTTTGCGAAATGTAAACGGGATGCAGTCTCGTGGGGCAGATACTATTAAGCCTAGCGTAAATATCTTACGGCTGTTCGTCAACACAAACATTCCTTCTTTATCTTCGACCTTCCCCGTATGATAACCAATAACCCCCGTAAATTCTGGCAGACCATTGACATGACAAGACCATGTGTCTTGTCAGGCCGACCATGCTATTCCTAATTACAATATTCACAGTGATATTCTTTCTGATTCCGATTGTGCTAACGCATTCAATGTCGCCTCTTCATCCGTTTTCACCAGTGAATCAGATGCCCCACTGCCTGAGTGCTCTACTTCTACCATGTCAACAATGCCGGCTATAAATTTTTCACCCGAAGGCTTCGCATCATTGATTTATAAACTAAAAGTTTTGTCTTCCAGAGGTGTTGATAACATCACCTCTAAACTGTTAAAAACAATAACAATGTTTCTGCCGCACTGCTAACCTTATTTTTCACACAGTCTTTGTGTTCAGGCACTCTACCAAACGAATAGAAAGTCGGCAAAGTCATTCTGGTTTACAAGTCTGGTAACAGAGTTTCACCTTTAAACTATTGGCCATCTCCATAACGAGTATTTTACATCCATCACAGCATGGTTTTCGCAAGGTTCTTTCTTGTGAAACTCCGATTAATCCTTTCCTTCATGACCTGCACTCAAGCCTACATAATAATACCCAGCTAGACGCAATATTTCTTAATTATGCTGAGCCTTGCCACGGTGGTCTAGTGGCTAAGGTACCCGGCTGCGGCCGGGTACCTTAGCCACTAGACCACCGTCCATTTCCGATGGAGGCGGAAATGGACGGTGGTCTATTTCCGCCTCCATCGCCTCCAACATTTCCGCCTCCATTTCCGCCTCCAACATTTCCGCGTCCATTTCCGATGGAGGCGGAAATGTTGTAGGCCCGTGTACTCAGATTTGGATGCCCGTTAAAGAGCCCCAGGTGGTCAAACGTTTCGGAGCACTCTACTACGGCGTTTCTCATAATCACATGGTGGTTTTGAGGCGTTAAACCCTACATATCAATCAATGAATTGTGCTAAGGTGTTCGTCAAGGTACCTCATGGACGCCTGCTATTAAAACTCTCCCATCCAGGCTTGCATCCTCATGCCATACAATGAATCTAAGCATTCCTTGCTAATCGGTCTCAGCGTGTGTGCATCAATGACACGTCCTCTGGCCCTGTTTCCGTAACCTCCAGCATCTCCCAGGACTTCGTACTCAGTCTCCTGTTATTTCATACATATATGATCTGCCATTGGAAAGTTCTTGTTCCATTTGCTTGTTCGCAGACGAATGCGTCCTTTATCAAACAGTAACTAATACCACCGACCAGGCTGTGATGCAAGGCAGTATAACCAGTACCCTAATCTAGTGCGACCGCTTACCCGTGGTTCTTCACCCCAGTAAATGTAAAGTTATGTCCTTCACCCGTTCCCGTAGCTCTCTCATCTATGAGTGCAACATATCTAACACTTGGATTGACACTGTTGGTTGTTGCAGATATCTCTAAAGATATTAACTAATTTCTTCATGTGTCGAACCTCATTTCATCCTGTAACAAAACATTCAGCTTTCAAAGACGTCGTCTACAAAACGCCCCTCCTCATGTTAAACTCATTGCCTTCAAGTCCCTGTTTCGACCGAAACTTGAATTCGCATCTGCAATCTGGAACCCTCATCAAAGATACCTCGCAGATGCTCTAGAGATGGTGCAGAACCGCGCACTTAGGTTCATTCACTCATTGTATTCACACAACATAAGTGTTTCCTTACCAAAGGCGGAAACAGCATATTTTGACTATACACAGAATGTACCACAGTTCATTCAATCAAACACCTTATTTTTTACCACCATCCCGTATATCACCTGGTACAAGACATTCGATAAGTGTTTCTCAGCCCCGTACCCGCACTCTGACGATCTCGTCTTCATTTTTCCCGCACACCATTGTAGACTGGAATGACTTCCCCTACGCCATAGTTGCCATTCCTAACCATGAAGCATTCATTGAAGTTGTGCGTGCTCATTTATTTTCCTGATTGGTGCAATGTCATGAATTCTTCTTGCACCCCACCGCTTACGTAATTCTCCCACGCGGAGTCTTTAAGGAAATAAGGTCAAAGTGAATGTTGCAGGCACAGTTTGCGCTGAGAATTACTGACAGTGTAAGAAGACGACAACAAAACACGTTTTGGAGAAGAAATGTGGCAATATATATATATATATTGTGTGTGTGTGTGTGTCTTGTCAGCCACGACAGTATACGCTGCACCAGCAGCGGAGGAAAATCAATGCTGCTAAATGAACAGAATGGCGCGAACGTGGGAGAGGAGTGCCTATGAGGCCGACAACACGACTTCCACAAGTCGAAGTCTACAGACAGCAACGAAGCGAATACGTCTACGGCTGAATCTGGCCTTCCTCGTTCTCTGTGTGAAGAAGGGCGAGCATGCTGGCTTGTGCGCGCGTTCACGAGAACCATAAATAATTTCAAACGAATCTTTCAACCAGGCTCGAGATGCAGGGAATATTGGTGAAGCTGAGCGACTGATCTGGGGTGTTACGCCCCAAAGAGCAGCGGCATGATTATGAGGGACGCCGCAGTGGAGGGCTCCGGAGGTTCCAACCATCCGGGGTTCTTTAGCGTGAACTGACATCGCACAATGGACGGGCTGATTCACCTACCCCGAAATACGACCGTGAGGGCCGGGATCAAACCAGCGACCTTCATGTCAGTAGCAAAGCACCGCAACCACTGATCCACAGTGGCAAAAGTCTGACCAATTGAAAAGTGCACTTACGAAAAAACAGTTTTGTGGATTCGGTCCATGATTTCGCAAACAGCGTCTATTTTTTCGTGATAAGATTGGCACATGTGTAACTTTAATTGTGCATGTGGCACATATCTTATACAAGGCACGCTATTGTGTCCTTTTGGTAAAAGGTGCGCAGCTATTTTTTTCATGGAGCTGAAAGGTAACAAACAGTAGTAAATTAGTGAGAATGCATAAATATACGATGTGGGAAGTAGTAAGTGGTGAAAATTCCCGCATTTTCTGGGTGGAAACAGTTGTAATTTTAAGGTAATGCAGGATGGTGTACTTATGTTATGCTGCATAGAAGCGCCTTTCGTAAACCGAACCCGCGTTCATGTGTGAAGCCATTTGATTGTCCCAGCTGCTCAGAGCGCAGGTGGCTTTGTTATTGCCGATGCTGTCGACGCCGAGGTTATCTTTTCTACGGCGCCCTGCAACACAAGCGGCTTGTTAGTTTTGTTTGCAAGCTGTGCGCGCGTTGTACAGTTCTAGAGAGTATGCTATCTGCGAGATAGTGCGAGTGGCTGCTAGGATATATAGTAACACTCTCTGTGCACATCCAGAGTGGTATAGCTCGAAGTGAGGCACGTTTATGTATGCGGGTGCTTTCGTGCAGAACGCTGCCCGTGCAATGGCTACCTTCTTTGGAAGTTGTCGTGAGCTGTTACTGGAACTGGGAATATACTTGTGGTGCACTGTAACGCGAATGCTTTTTGCGTTGTGGTTCTACTGGAAAAAGCCTTTACAACTGCCACCTGTTACTGACAAGCTTCTTCTTCGTTCTGCTACATCTCTTGCTGCCGACATCAGAAATGGCGAGGTGAAGTGACTTTACTCCTTGGCTTGTACCCGCATGCATTTCTATATTATGTGCATAAACAAAACGTTAGACATGCGTGTATGTAACTGTATGTGTTGTGTGTTTATCATTGTATATATCGTTGTCATCTCCCGGCAACTCGAGTAGCCTGTCAGGTGAAAAACCGAGCAAACCTTTCTAGCTTCTCATTAAAATAATTCTCCCTCTTTTAACTAAAAAAAACATTTGCCCACCAAGTGCCGTTACTTTTATGTGGGCAATGGTGACGATTCGTTTCAATATACCTTCATAATTTGTTCAAAACCGAAATAACCATGGTTAGCACAATCATAAAAGCAAAACTAAAATACCAAGAATCGAACATTGGCAACAATACTTTGAAGAAGTACTTTTTTGGATACAAAGACGACTGCAGCATTATCGAGGCAGGTGAGGGCCTCAAAATATGCTGAAACCTCGAAGCTAGGGGTCTGTCGATCCGTCAGTCATTCACATCTTACGTCCCCCTCTCCTTATTCATTTCCACGTAATTAATTAGGTATTGCGTTTGATATTTCCTATTTTAGGAGTGCACAGGCCCGCATCTTCAGTAATGGTCATTCATACAATAATATTTATCGCATATAGTCATTCAACATTAAAATTTGTAGCTGAAAGTAGAGCAAAACTTTTTATTCTTTATTAGTACCCCACTGTTTGCAGCCCTCCGAGAAAAAAGCTGGTCGTTTAATCGTTCTTTATTGTATGTCGTGAAGAAACACAACACTTACAGTATATCTGCTAAAATGCGGTTCTCTTGTTTATTTTCTATCATTTTCTTATAGCAATATACCGATAGAAACGCATTGTTTCCAACTGCTGGGTATTCAAGTGAGATCGGGACTGCGCACCCATAAAAATACCAGCAATAAATCTACGCTTTCTAATTGCATGCCTAATCACAATTGACATTTGTGTCGACATAAAAAAGTGCTCCCGATTTCATTCGATACTTCACGCCTCTTTTTGTTTCCCGCAAATATCCTTCATATGTTCTATTCATACAGTACAGGGAACTACGCATTACTAACAAAGTCTCAAAAAGAAACAAACCACTTGTGATATACGAAGAAGTCCAATGAAAATCCACTTTTTCGAGAGTACGGCTTCCTGGCGAGCACAACTATGACATACAAGACATACGGCAAATATACGCTAAGATCCAACTATGGCATGCGCAGACAATCTTAAACTTTCGAAATCCGGATGAACGCCAAATTATTGTCTATTTATTACTACAACCAGCGCTCTTGAGTTTTTTTGATGAAAGGAAGTGCAATATTTTGGAATATTGCAATTAATTTTTTATTCATACAATGTCGCTGCACGGCGCAGTCAAATTCATATTTGTGCACTGTGCACTAAGGCTAGAAGTATCTAGTAAAAGAGTAACTACTAAGAACGATTGCCTGCTAATGAATGCATGCCCGCTTTTGAAATATGCAAAATGCACATGGTTTTGGCGCAAAAATATCGAAGATTTTGCCTGTCGTTCTTGCATTTAACTCGTACTCAAATTAACGGTCACTAATTAAACGAGTGTTTCATGTGACCTGTTCTTTTTTCTTTCATAGTGATAACGCAGCCACATCACAGGCGTGATTAAAAGTTCGCTCATTCTTTACTGGGAACTTGGGCGTTGCAGTTGGCATCGAAGCATTTCTTATACGCATATGTGCAATGAACGAAGTAATCAAAGGAAAAAAAAAACCATGGACCATCTCCCTGAAGGAAACCCTGATGAGATGTGAAGCAGCAGTGGTGCGCACGCCGTTGAGCCGTGGGTGCTGGGACAATGGTTTGGAGCGACATTCGGTGTAGCCTTTACTTGAGTAAACGTTTCTTTGAAACGCAAAGACACGTGTTGGGTTTCGGGTAAGTTTCATAGAAGAAAAATGAGCCGAAAGAGTGTTTTCACTCAACCTGTGGTCGAGCGTTGCCGCTAAGGGGAGGGAGTGAAGCGAGAGAAAAGTGTGTTGTGAGCGGGCAGATGAGCTGGTAGCTGCTGCAGGGGAAGAAGCGAGTGAAGTCAACGCGCAGCTGCGACTTGACCTACTTGGCATTGTTCCAACAAGTGCGACGGGGGGAATGCGTTGTGGCGTTTCTGTGCGCACGTACGGAACAGCATTCCACAGCCTAGTCAAAGAGCTGCTTCGAATCAAATAATTGAATTTTTACGGCCTTGTTCTTGTCTTTCAAGGTTAAAAGCGTGGACCTTGTTTCGGCCTACATCAGACGCATCCACGAGGTGCAGCCCATCATCAACGCTGTCGTCGAGGAGAGATTCGAGGAGGCTCTTAAGGAGGCCGGAGAGGTGGACAGACTGGTTGCATCGGGAACAATAAGCGCAAGCCAAATGAGCAAAGAAAAGCCTCTTCTAGGACTGCCATTCACTGTCAAGAACAGTATCGCCGTGAAAGGTGCTTTACCGGTTGCGTGCTCGCAACGTGCCAGTAACAGTCATTATTAAACGTAATGTGCAAGCCAGCTGGTATTTCACTAATACAAGGTACAATCCATAGTTTGCTAACCAGAATATTCACTAACTACAGAAGTTGAACACATAGAAGGTGGATGGTGGCGTGGCATCAGAGCCGCCTTAGCACACATAATAATCTTTAATAATGCATTCGCCCTGAGGCTTATTTTCCAATATTTGAGAAAGGTGAGAGGTTGAGAGAATTCTCAGGGTTGGAGGAAGCTGTCTTACCTGCGCAATAACGAACACACGTGAAATACGTCATTGTGGAAACCAAAATGCGACGCAATTGCGTTCATTGCAGCACTAAAACACTAAAACACATGGATGGGTAAAAAACATTTCATTAAGACTGCTACACAAAGAATATAACAAATACAGTGTACGTTGCGAAGGATTATCGGGAGTGGTGTTTTAGAAAGAGTGGCGACAAGATGCCAATAACGCTGTGACAATGAGAAGAATGGTGGTTTCATCTTGGAGATCATATATAACGAAGTAAATACGGTTAACAACGTGATAAAACTAAATTTATCACCGTCCAAAATTAGTAATGGTGTCGCCACCCGTCATATATATATATATATATATATATATATATATATAGGCAGGCATGGTGGTTGAGTGGCCGTAGCGTTGCATATAGTCTAGTAGATCCTCCGTGAGCGGTCACAACGGGGTTTATTTCGACGTTTCGGCCTAGAGTCTGGCCTTCATCAGGATTAAAGGTACAGTTTGTTGGTGCTCAGCTTTATACAATCTCAAATCAGAAGGAAAGGAAAGAGGAAAAAGAAAAAAAGGAAAAAAAAAGAGAAACAGAATATAAGGTGGACTCCTCTCGGGCGCCCCCCTTCCACTCTTCCTTCCACTTCCCCATTCATCTCTCTCCCTTTTCTCCCCTTCACCTTTCTGATGTCAGTGGTCTATGTATGCTTCCTTTCACTAACGCATTCTTCCTGACCAGACGGCGCCTCCTGGCACTGGCGGTTCGGTGTGGGGCAAAAAAGAGCTTTTTTAGGAAGTTCTAAGCCTTTAACTACTCGGAGCCCCGTCAACATTTCGTCGTAGAAAGAGGGGTACCGCGTATTGGGGCGGAGGCTGGTAAGCGGGCATTTTAGGAAGTTTTAAGCCTTTAACTACTCGGGGTCCCGTCAACATTTCGTCGTAGAAAAAGGGGCTGCAATACGCGGAACCCCTCTTATATATATATATATATATATATATATATATATATATATATATATATATATATATATATATATATATATATATATATATATATATATATATATATATTATATATATATTGTGAGTGAAGACTATATAAAAACTTTGAAACTTCTTAAATATGATCTCTCCTGAGTAGTACTGTTAAATACTTCCAGGTAATGTGCCACAGGCAGGGTTAATTTGGCAGACCTGACCTGAGCAAGTCGTTCCATGTAGTTCGGCTCACCATACAATCACTTAATCCTGTCTCTCATATAAAGCGTAAGAGTATGTCTGGCACTTGCCTTCGCATCAGCCGCGCATTTGCCGAAAACACAATGCCTTCACAGCATTCGTGGGAGAACCCTCCTTTCTTCATACTGGTTATTATTGTCTCTCTTTTATCGCGACAACACTTGCACGACCATGGGTAGTGCTGAATATCCGCGACTTCATTGCATTTAGCGCACAGCGAAGACGGAGTGCTCATGACTTTAAATAACCATAAAGGAATGTATGCAGGTCCTGTTCTTATTCTGTATAGCAGAGTTGATCGGCTTGACCAAGGCGACCTGTGACACAGGGCTGTTGGGGCGATTTTCGTGGAGAGCAGAAATGAGATAAATTGTTTGTTTTGGTAGTCGTTGGTTCACAGCAGCTGTGATTGTCGGTTGCCTTGAAAGTGAATGATAGGCCAGGGCACGTACGCTTTCGTTACCGCTGATACCAACATGTGAAGGTATCCATTGAAAAGTTATGTTGATGCCGTTTTAGGTAGCGTCTTTTATTGATGCTAGGAACTGATGGCAGAGCTTGTTTCTGGGAGTCCCTCGAGAAAATTGTGTCGTGGCCGATTTGCCGATGTACAGTCTGATAGTTAATCTTTGTCGGGTGGATTCATTCGCCAGCTTGCGAAGAGCAGCAGCTGCACTCTCTGCAACTGTCAAAGAGACTAGGTTGTCCAAACGGCCAGACCATGCAGCTCCAATAGATGACATTCGATATGCCACCGCACAGCTGGTATTGTCAACAATGACGGAACCAACCATGTATACGTGAAGACAATCGGCATACTTCCTTACCAAATGCTCGAGCACCAGGCAGCCCGCTTCCGTACAAGGTGTTATTCACTTGGATTGCAGCCACAGGATTATGAGGTTGCAAATGACATTTTGAATTCAGAGCGGATCACTTTGTGGCCTTCTTTCGGAGTGTTTAACATACAGGATATCTAAGATATTCAGCAAAACAAATACATA